CAAGTGATATCTTAGACGTTTAGCGCCGTATCTCAATAGAATTAAAACACAATTCCTAGTCATCAATCGAAAGCAAGCCAAATTCCATTCGCTTAACGCGGGTCGAGTTTTCCCTCGCTAACTGCACTGGTTTAGTTTTTCCTCGCTTGGCACGGGTTAGGGTTCCCGCGCTCTTGGATAAGTGGGTTGAGTTCGGTTCTTTCCTCGTTTGCTACCGGTTTTAAAATTTCCAAGTTTGACATAAGTTTTCCTGCCATTAACACAGATTACACATTATTGCTTCAATACTGACGTCAGTTCGTTCACGGAGTAAATATATACTACAACTCTTTTGGCTTAGAAGCTTTTTTTCATCGAACTCATTGCTTTCCATTTAAAATACAGACAATATTCCTTTTTGTTTGTCAGGTATGGAGACCGCGTACCACGCGCGATACACTCAAAGTTGTTTGGCATTGTGTGGATCACGTGTGGGCTGGTCATCATCGCGCTGGTGATGTCATTTATCACTACGTCACTGACCATGAATATTATCAAATCCGATATTCCTGTATATGGCTCTAAGGTAAGCTAACAAGCTGTAAAATTCATGCGACCAAGAACGGCTTTGCTAGAATTTCGTCTTCCGATGAAGAAGGAAACAATACCACCGGCTTTTGGTGATAGGCGTCTCAGAAAGACGTTTTGAGAGTTTGGGAAAATCGGTGTTGGTGTAACTCACTAGCGTATAACAAGAGCCTTGCCTTGTAGCCAGCAAAACGATATCACGGCAATAAGCGCTTTGTACTGAGTTATCTTGCTTCTTTTTCCTATCTTTGTTTGAAAGGTTGCTGCTATTAGTGATTCAGCGGAATATCGTCTCGGAATTCGAATGAACGCCAAGATGAGTCAAGGCAAGTGTTTTTCTAGTAAGGGACGAGACTGGCCCCAGTATTTCGAAGATCTATTATTACGGGCTGTCCCTGGGTTAAATTTTAATCGGGCTTCATGTTACTTTGTTTAAAAGCGTTTTCATGGGTCTTTATAACTCGTCATGCATTTTAGAACGTCCAAGCATCAAATTGTAGGCAAAAAAAATCAACAGAAATTTGCTTCGTGAGCATCCAGATGTGAAGACAAATTTCGCGCTAATTAATCCTTTTTTAAACAACGAGGGCTTGGTATTTGACTTGCCTAGTCTCTACGGCGTTTTCCCAGGCCCTCTCGGTCAATTCACTTCGGTAACGTATCCGAGGCGAACGGGCGGGAAACGTCTTTGCTTGGACCACGTGACCCGAAACGCTTTGGCCGCCCGAAATAATGAGGCCTAGGGACTACGCAAGTATTTGACTAAGTCTAAGAGCTTTAGACTTGGATGATACCTGCACGTGTCCCTTAACTCTCTCTATTTTCTGGTCCGAAAAACGGAGGTTTTGGCGAGTTAACTGGCTAGACGTTTTTATGTCTTTCTCGAACTCAGACCTAAAGCCAAGGGTCTTAATCCTTCTTCACAGCATAAGTAAAACATTTATTTAACGACGCTAAACTCAGCTATTTCTACACAACAACGGATAGTTTTTCCTGCGTGCAGGAATGAAAAACTAACCGGTACAGTATGAACGTCATGTAACAGCACAGAACTGGAACAAGTCGTTCAGACACATCAAACATCATATAGGAGTGGTTTGTCTTTACTTCTGAATAGTTACTTCCGTCTTGGTGGGTTTCAGTCGCTGCAACTCATTTACTTCCGCTACGGTCCGAATACCTGTTCACACTACGACGAAGAGTGGCACTGACTCTGAGAAACCTATCGGATATGGGACGAACTATTTTGAAGATCGGCGCAGTGTGGCACAGCTTCGCTCCGTTACAGAAAACCGCCCTCCGAAAATACTTTTCTTAATTAAGAAAGAGAAGCCCTATCCGATATGGTTTCTGCGTCGGCGCCAACGCTATCTGAGATGGTGTGAACATTACCTTAGTTAAAGCTATTGTAGCAAGGAACCAACCTAAGGAACTCGGACTTTCACGTTCAAAGGGTAAAAACTGTTAAACATGGAAAGCATTCCCTCAGATTTTTTGGGCCATTTTTATGGTCAAAATTGAGTATGAAGGACAGAAACGAGACCTCCTTAAGCAGGTTTAAAGCAAATATAAGGAGAGAAGATCTGAGCAAATTGGTTAGTGATAACGCATGCAAAGGGTGCCACCTGTGTGACTCATAATTCATAAACAGAAAATATCATAACTAGTAGAGTTGATATATTATAAAATTGTATATATAGTTTTTTCTTATTTATTACATAGGTGTATTTTCGAAGCATATTGAATATCGTGTATCTTTTAAGTAGTTTTAGAATAGTTAAATCTTATTAGCTTATAGTATTATGTGTATATATATTTCTTATTAATAAGTAATTTAAGTAATGTCCCCGATTAGTAGGCCTGACGGCAAGCTAGAAGATTAGACACTTAAATAAAGTTG